ACAAAAAAAGGTTAAAAAACCATTGGCTTTGCTGATTCCAGTGGACTGATTGCCCATTTTTGCACTCAGCTGTATGACTGAAGCACCACTAGTCATTTGTAAATGTCAAATATGCGACACAAGTAGGGCTGGGTGAGGTGTGGTTCAAATGAAACCTTAGACAACTGGAATGGCTTAGACTTCATTTGACATTTTAAAGTTTCCATGAACAAGGGATCAAGAGTACTGGATGGTAAGACCTGTTAGAATCTGGACATGAGCCAACTCTGGATTAGAACGGGTTGCTTGGAGGAGTTGCATAAAACAAACTTATTGGCCTTCTTTCAAATCAACTGAAAGATGGAGTTTAGTTCACTGAAAGGTCTGATAGACAATAAATCATAGTGAAAAAGTCTGCTTTGAAGTCTGAGTGGTGATGATAAAACACTGTAATTCCTCATTATTAGGATGGCTAATTAAAACCATGAAATATAGTTTGGTTTATAGCAAACCCAATTTGATAAAGAAAAACTGTAGAATTTCTTAGAATCATTTTGAAACTATAAAACTAAGAAGTAGAAAGAAATAACAATTACTACCAACCTGCCTTCCATTGAGGACCTGTATGCTGCACAAGTCAAAAAGAGGGCTGGGAAAATATTTACAGACCCCTCGCATCCTGGACATAAATTGTTTCAACTCCTATCCTCAAAACAATGCTATAGAGCACTGCACACCAGAACAACTAGACACAAGAACAGTTTTTTCCTAAACACCATCACTCTGCTAAACAAATAATTCCCTCAACACTGTCAAACTATTTACTAAGTCTGCACTACTATTAATCTTGTCATCGTTCCTATCACCCATCTTCTCCCACTTATGACTGTATGATTATAACCTTGTTGCTGGTATCCTTAAGATTTATATTGACTGTTTCCCTATGTTTCATTAAGTGTTGTACCTTATGATTCTTGATGAAAGTATCTTTTCTTTTATATACTCTGAGAGCATATGCACCAAAGACAAATTCCTTGTGTGTCCAATCACATTTGGCCAATAAAGAATTCTATTCTATTCTATTCTATTCTATTCTATTCTATTCTATTCTATTCTATTCTATTCTATTCTATTCTATAAGAAATTCTCTTATCAGGATTTAAATACATTTAATCTGTGTGATTGTGTTATTAATACTGTTTAACTAACCTCTCTTATAATGAGATATTCAGAGAGAAGCAAGTCTGATTTGATTTGATCTGATTTTACTTTAAACAATGGCTTTGACTTTCACTAGCTGTAGTACATATCTCAATAAAAATATATCAGTTTATATTTTATTTCATTGGTGTATTGGTTCAAGCTCACTGAAGGAGAGGCAGCTACCTCTTGCCTTAAAAGAGGTAGTGGTGTGTCCCTTCTTCAAGAGGCCCTCCTTGAACAGTTTTCAATAGCTATTGGCTAGTCTCCAGTTTTCTGTTTCTGGGAAAGGTTGTTGAGAAGTCCACAATACATGAGAATCCGGAAGGATTATCTAGCCCCATTTCAGTTAGGATATAGTGCTGAGGCAGCTTTGGTTGTGCTGTGCTTGATTGTAGATGACTTTTGTCAGAGCTGGGACAGAAGTGGTAATCCATCCTTGTGGTCCTTGATCTCTCAGTGCCTTTTGATACCATTGTCCATGGTATCCTTCTGAGCCAGCTCTGTAGGATGGAGTTTAGGGGCACTGTTCTATGTTGATTCTCTTCCTTTCTCTATAGCTCATTCCAGTCAAGGTTGGGGTGATAAATCATTCCCTCAGACTCTCCTTTGTGGGTTGCTTTAGGGTTCTACTCTCTCTCTTCCCTCATTTTCAGCATCTACATATAACTACTGGGCAGGGGTGGGCTTCAAAAGTTTTAGCAAGCAGTTCTCTGCCCAGTTGCTGGGTGGGCGTGGCCATGGTGGGCATGGCTAGTTGGCCTTCTGCACCACAGCGGGGGGAGGGGTGTTTTTGTCCTCCCTGGGCTCCGGAGGCTGGGAGAGCAAAAACGGCCTCCCAGGCTCCAGAGACCCTCTGGAAAGGGGTCTGTTTCTGGCCTTCCCGAACTTCCGGTAGGCCTGTTTTTCACCCTCCCTGAGCCTCCGCGCTCTCCCTGCACTTACCTGCATCCAAATGGGCCACGTGGGGACTCCTGGGAGGGGAGAGGGGAGAGGAGGGGTAGCTGGGGCCAGCCAGGAGTGTGATTTGGGGGTTCTCCAAACTGCACAGAATCTTAGCTAGAGGTTCTCCCGAACTTCTGTGATCCCCCAGCACCCCACCTCTGCCATTGGGTGAGGATATCTGCCAGTTTAGTGTTCAATATCCTCAGTAAGCTAATGATATCCAAGTATATATTTTTATTCTGGACCAGGCAAGAGAGCCTGTTGAAGTTCTGTCTCGATGCCTGGGAGCTGTGCAAGTTTGGATGGTACATTATCTCTTACTCAATCCTACCAAACCTAAATGACTGTGGGTGTTTGGGCTATCTAGATTCCAGGACGTTCCATCTCTGAATTCTCCTTTTAAGAGTGGTGTGCAATTTGGGTTTTTTCCAGGACTCACAACTCCTACTCAATGCTTAGGTGGCAGTTGTGAGGCCTTTGCACAGCTTCTTCTGATGTGCCAATTGTGCCTTTTCCCTGACTGTGAGGAAACTACTGTGGTTTTGTGTTTGCTACCTTTCACTCATATGAAGTAGTGATGAAGATTGCACACAAATATGTTCTAGAGTAGATAAAGAAGCATTTTATCTACTCTAAAATATGTTTCTGTGCAATCTTCATCACCGCTTCATATGATGTGGAAATGGTGAACACAAGACCACAGAAATAATGTCCAATCTAACATCTTTTTTTTATCGTTAAGTGGATTCAGAAAACGCTTATTCTCTTTGCAATGACTCCTGACCAATCACATGAGGGAGGGATATATGCATCCATTCGTAACCAAATTGATACCAAAGTGGATGTGTTGTGAATCATGATTGCATCATTTTATTTTATACTTATATTACATCATCACAGAAAAATACATGAATGGGGGGAATTAATGTCACTAGGCACATTTGGTCTTTGCCCTCCTGCAGATGCCTATGAGAGATTGATGTTATTCATCAGACAATGTTGACTGCTAATCTGTTCCTGTTTGAATTCCCATCCAAAGGCCGCTATTGATCTTAGTCAAAAACTGAGATGACAGAGCCACATACAACCTTGGAGTAATCTCTGTAGAAATTACTCCAATTCTCCTTAAGATCTTCCATAAAGTACCAAAAGGTGTTGAGAAGACACAATTTCTTGAGTTTTATCCCTGATTTTAGTGCCCTCCCAATTTACTCAACAACTTGTTTTGGTTTTTTTCTGTTGATGCAGCTATCCTGCCTATAACACAAACAAACCTTTGATCGAGCCCCCAAGCCTTTTCCTTTTACAGAGGAATGACTAATTATTAATTAAAATAAAACAAAAGGAGCAGTTTTCTCAAAAAAGCATCTAACATCACTCAACTAGTTATCCATTAATGGTTTTCTAGTAAACATATTAAGATATTGAAATAACTGAGCATTTCATTTCAGTGGCTGACAATGTGGAAAGAAACACTAAGAATAATTTCTCTCAGAGCCCACAGATTTGCAAATTCCATTTTGAAATTTCAATGGTAGCAATTATAGAGTGGCTGCAATGAATATCTTTAGTTGAAATGTAATTAGCCATCTGCTAAAGACAATGCAGATTCATAATTCCTGTGAATCAATCTTTCTAGCAGTAATGCACTCTATATTTTAAAGAATTTTGTTGTGAGTCTCTAGGTGTTTTTCCAATACTTTACTGTACTTGGGGACTGGAATAAGCTCTACCAAGTCTTGTAACTCAGCCACTTCAATTTTGGACAAATTAGTCTTTATTAATAGCTTCCTAGCTTTCCTGACCTTGCAGCATAATTGCATATTACCATAGTATAGTTTCAAATATAAAATCAGTTCAATATTTAACCACACTGATCCTCAAGGAGACAGCACCGGAACTGAAGCAACAGATCTTTGATAATGATCTCAAGAGCAATCTGAGCACAACTCCCTTGTTGCTTGGAATAGTTTGACTGGAAAACCATTCTCCAATGCCAGTTTTTGTTAACATTTAATGTCCATCTCAAGGGATGCGGTGGCTCAGTGGCTAAGATGCTGAGCTTGTCAATCAAAAGGTTATCAGTTCAGCGGTTCAAATCCCTAGTGCCGCGTAACAGGGTGAGCTCCCGTTATTTGTCCCAGCTTCTGCCAACCTAGCAGTTTGAAAGCACATAAAAATGCAAGTAGAAAAATAGGGGCCACCTTTGGTGGGAAGGTAACAGCGTTCCGTGCGCCTTTGGCGTTTAGTCATGCCGGCCACATGACCATGGAGATGTCTTTGGACAGCGCTGGCTCTTCAGCTTTGAAACGGAGATGAGCACCGTCCCCTAGAGCCGGAAACAATTAGCACATATGTGTGAGGGGAACCTTTACCTTTAATGTCCATCTCATAGATGGGCTTTCCCCATTGCCAGATCCAGTACACTGATCTTCAAATTATTGAAGATCAGTGGAAAAATTTAATGCCCATCTATACAAGAACATGTAGGCCCTTGTTCTGCAGTGAAATAGAAAGCTTCACACCTGCTTGCGTATATGCTGTTTTTATTAGGTCTGGTGGTAAAGCTAATGTTACTCCTTCTAAAGAACAATTATGACCATTTGGAAGAAAATAATGTTCTCTCCGTTTTAGATGCTACAACTCTGATCTCCAGAATGGTAGTCAAATGTTTATTCAGCCACAATTTTTAGTCTTGTTTAAATATTGTGGCTACTTTGTTAATGTTATATTCGTGTGTGCATTTGTGTGTGTGTGTGTGTGTGTGTGTGTGTGTGTGTGTGTGTGTGTGTGTATTTCCCCTCTGCTATAATTAGAATCCTGAAACTGCTAGCGAAGATGTAAAATCACTTTCTTTGTCTCTTTATAACTCAAAGGTGACCAAGATGCTGGCTGTGGTGGTGATTCTCTTTGCCCTTCTGTGGATGCCATACCGTACCTTAGTGGTAGTCAACTCTTTCATGGACCCTCCCTACCTGAACAGCTGGTTTCTCCTCTTCTGTAGACTCTGCATTTACCTGAACAGTGCTATCAACCCAGTCATTTATAACTTGATGTCCCAAAAATTTAGAGCTGCCTTCAGAAAGTTATGCAAATGTGAGCAGAAGAGAACTGAAATTGCCACGCAGTTTAACACCCCTGTCTTCTACAGCACAATGAAAGACTATTCTCATGACAGTTCGGAACACAATGTAACAGAACAAGAAGATCTCAATGGCTGCCCTCCAATAGCCAGGAAAAAGTAATCTTGCCAAGTAAATATGGCACATAATCACTGCCTTTGGTTGCAGAAACCACCAATGTGGATCGTTTTAGGAATATCTGATCAGCATGCTAAAGATCTATAATTCTTTTTTTCTGCATTTGGATGTAATATTTTCATTACTGTATTTTAATGCTAACCTGAGCTTACCTGTGTCAAATATTAGTTGTGGCTAAAAATTTTTGTGGTACAATGAAATCTCTCATTTGGTGTCAATAGCCTTTTCTGAACAATCCTCTCTCAGAATTGTGTGCAATCCATTGGCTACACTCTGTCCATTGTATTCTCACCAACACAAACTTACTGTTGTCCATGCTTTTTTGAAGAAGAGGATTTGGAATGAGAAGCTCCTTTATTTGAAACTTTTCTCCTGGATCAGGAAGAGAGGCATTTCTGGGATGAAAGACTAGACAGAAGAAACCTCTCTATCTTACTTTGGGGCCTTATGGAAATAATTGAATCAGATTGGAAACTATGGGCTTCAAATGTCCCATGTCTGTTCTAAAGCCTGGTTGAAGTAGGGAAATAGCTCATTGATGAAAGTGATAGATATTCTTGCAGAAGAAATGGAGACAAAGAAAATTTCCATGAATAAGTCTAACTCTTCTGAAATGGCTCTCTTAAGTTTCATGCACTAGTTTAAACATTAAACTATGTATCTTGCTGGCTCAAGTGAAATTTGGCATATAGAGCCTTTCTAGGACTTTCCATGATGTCTGTTGGCTACTACGGATGCTTTTACAGGACATGCTCTAGAGACAGGGGACAGGCTTCCTTGCTGTTAAAACAGAATCATTGGAAAGATGCTGCCTTTTCATTCCTTAGAATTAAGGTCATCTAATTTGATACTTTTCTACATTGACACTTGTTTTCCAGTTCTTCAGGATAGAAATTATCCCAGGAAATATTGAGGATTGAATCTGCAATCTTTTGCATGTCCGTTTGTGTTTTACTACTTAGCTAATTGCTTACTGTCCAGTTTATTATGAATGTGAAGAGCCATTTGAAAGTACATTATTCATTTTAATAGGTAAAAGTGAAGTGTAAGCAGGTTGGGAAATCTGGAAACTGAGGTCCAAAATACTGAGAATCCAGATTAGGAAATACACTGATAGAAAAGCCCAGCCACTGCTTATATGATGCAGATAACATATTCCAAGGTGCTGGAAGTCAATGAAACACTGACCCATGTGATGATCTGTGTTATTTTTATATCTGTGTTATTTTTTTTCAGTTAACACATATCTAAATCTTCAGTAGCTGAGCAACATTATTTAGACATTCCACTGCTTTCAAATCAACTGTGCCTCTGTTTTTCTTTATAAAAGAGCCTAAGAAATTTAGTTGAACAACATTAACTGTTCAATTATCGCAGAAACCTTAATCTGATTTTCCTAGTGGAATTCCTAAAATAATTCCTGCTTCTGGTCTATTCCTTTTCTTAATCATTAGTTAGGATCACATTCTACTATATTTTCCCCTTCGTACAAATTACAAGAATCCTCAACAAGATAATAAAGAAGACTAACATTTTAATTTCCATACCCTGATATGATTCATCTCTGACAATATATAAACATTTAGCAATAGTGATTAAATATCATACTCCTTTGGTGGCACTAACTCAGTTCCAGTTTAGATATTTTGACAAATTGATTTTGCTTGACCTTGTTTTTGATTATTTTTTTCTCTCTTTCAGAATGCAAGGATTGCTACATCTCTGGAATTCCAACTATGGTCCAATTCTTCTTCACAGTGTTTCTGTTAATTTGTGATGTGAAGTTATTTGGATCCAAAGTGGCAGGAAAAAGTGTACTTCAGCAAAAGAGATGCTGATAGGGCCCTCAAGGTCACTGCAACTCAAACATCTATTTTCCTGGCCTCACACCGCTAGTGTGCTGGACTGGGAAGGGTGCAGCTTCTTAAACAGCAAATGAATATTAGATCATAGACATCTTTTCCACTTCACCAATACAGGGTTGGGGTATCAGATGCTGTTCCTGTTTGGCTGAACATCCCTTCTGAATACCTAATTTAATATGTGGTTCTAGGAAAGTCTGCATTGTATAATATGTATCAGTGGAATTTGTAGCCTATTTTGTATCTGATGCACAGGTATCTTGGAAATCAGATCAGCGAAGATTCAAATTTGTTTCCAAGACCATTAACCCATCATTAGCGCTAATTACAGTTTGGCATAGATAGGAGTCACTCTAGAACTTAATAAACATAAACAACAATGTTCCTGTAGTAAATTTCAAGGTATAGTTTCAGTGTCTCTTTCTGCTTCTCCATTATCTTGTGGGTGGTGAAGAACTGGTTGTAATATGATTAAAGGTTTTTTTGTGACTTGAGGATCATTAGCTATATATAAGTTCATCGCACTATCCATCTCTAACAATTTTCTACATTTCCAAGCAATTAGCAGCAAAAGACTTTACTGTATTTGAAAACTGAAGATATCTGAAAAAACAGTCTGTAACAACTAAGTTACCATGACCTGTAATTTTACAATTACTAGCTCTAATGATCTTTAGTGATTTATTGGCAATGGTGTAACCATCAGTGCTTCTTTTTGGCTAATAATGATATGAAGAATAATAAGAATAATACATTCCTGGTTGCTAAAAGTGCTTTATGATTTTGACTTAGCGATGGTAATTGAACAGATAGTTAGTTTTCCATGACCTCTACATTTAGTGATGCTATTGTGATTTTAAAAAAGTATTTATTGTGTCTCAGCTGAATACTAATTGCATCATATTCCTGTAATATTATTCATCTTCTCTTTGCAAGCTAGATGCACATGATGGCAACTATTTTACATAAATTCTCTAGTTCTGAACCAGAAATAGTGATGTGCTATGTATGTCAAATAGACCAGTTACAAATGAGGCCTGAAGTTTGCTTTAAAGTAATGGTTTCTACTGAATACCCACAAGTTATTATCAGTTAAACGTGTTAAAATATTGAAATACCTTATCATTTTGGCAATCTAGAAAAGAGCACCAATAGTAATTTCTTCTGGGCCCACATACTTGCAAATGTCCAACAACAACAACAAGGTGCTGGTTTAGAAACCAGAAGATTGTGAGTTCTGCCTTAAACATGAAATCCAGCTGGGTGACTTCGAGTTAGTCACTCTCTCTCACACACACAGTCCAGTCCACCCCACCACACAGGTCTGTTATTGTAGAAAAAATAGGAGGTGGGCATTTTAGGTATGTTTGCCACCTTGAGTTATATATAACAAAAGTGAGATAAAAATACAATAGTAATAATGCCTTTCACAACCAATGGATCAACACTGTATTAAACAAAAAAAAGTACACCTGCATTTATAGGAAAACTTTAGGAACAAATAATTAAAATGCCCAATCCAGTCTAAACAGCTTGCTAACTGTACAACCAATTATAATAATAATAATCTTATTATTCACATTCACTTGAAAGCTATATTATACCATGTGATCTCTAGTATTTTAGTGGTACTTAGTTCAAATTTATATTCTTTGGAATATATAATGGCAAACAATGACTTCAGGTCTCTACAGTTGGGAAGATTCCAAATTAAACAGCTAGTTTGAAAAGCACAGATGTGTTTATACTGGTACACAAAGTATAAACCCAAGTTTCTTAGCTTGGGCTGACTGACTTTCTGAAGCAATAGACTATAGGCTTCTGTTTTCAGTCATCATCTTGAGGCAATGCACTCTCTGTTCTGAATACTGGGTGCTGCTGGATACAAAACACAAATATGGTAGATATCATAGAATGCAGCACTGGGGCTAAAGCTAAAAATCATCTGATTTTTCCTAAAAGATTCATTTTACAAATGTCCTGAAAGCTTCCATCATATATGTATTTCCAAACAGAATCTCTTTTATACAATCTATTTAAAAGATACAGGACTTCTGCTAATTGTGGTAAAATCTTTCAAAGTATTGGAACATCGCCCCAAATTTATCTATGAATTCAGGAAGGCTAATCAATAAAACAGCCTGCAACTTTTTCATGCTTGGACTTATGCCATTTATACCAGTTGTGGGTTTAAAAACCCGGCACTACTGATTCTCTATTGGTAGCGCACAGGTGTGCGCACACGCTTCATGATCGCGCATACGGAGATAATTTTTTATGATATCTGGGCAGGTGGGCGGAGCCTCCCGCCGCCACCACTTACCAGTTCGCTTGAACCAGGGAGAACCGTGAGCAACCCACCACTGATTTATACGTTATGGGATGTCTGATGCATATGAGTTTTTTCTGCATTCAATTTTCTTTAGGCAGGACTATAGGCAGTCTTTGGTCTTCGGTATCTTCAATAAGACTGTAAACCAAAATTTTCTTGATAAATGTTGAAAAGCCCAGCAAATATTGTAGCAGTTAATTACATTTGGAACTATTGGAGAAAAAAGTAGGAATATGTGATTGGCTTCCTTTTGTGGCTGTTTTCCTTCTAAAGGGTTATTAGGTTGGCTCGGGCGTTTATAAATTTCCCCCATCCCTACTAGGTTCCTCAATCTGGCCCTTGATCATTTTACAACCCCTTCTAAAATTATAGATTATAGAAATTTCAATCTCTAGTTTTTGAGATAGAGCTCTGTCAAACCACCTGCCCCTACACATTTATTTCTGCTCTCTGCAAACTCAGGTTTTTTTTTTTAATGCACATGATATAGATCTCAACGTATTTCCCATGTTACTAGTTTCTTTGGTGAAAATAAGCCATCTCACTGACCAAATTTCCCATACTTTTGGGGAAAGATTCATCATTTCCCTTTAGTCTAAAAATAAGATAAATAACAGAAGAACCTTTGCTTTCAAGAAGGAAATCCAGAAGACCTAATAAAATCAAAGGCTTCCATTGAAGATCTTTATTTATCAAACTACAAGACACACATTTCATTCAGGGATTCCCAAAACTGCTGGATGATGTAAAGTTCTAGTATCACATTTGTTCTTAATAAAATGGCCCAAAGCTTTCACACTAATCAGTATCTATTAGTTACAACAGAGTATTATAAAGTTTATTTACAATAACAATCTGTTTTACAGTCTTTTTTTTTTTTAGTAGAATCCATCCTCTTCCATCCGCAAGTCCTACTTCTGTTCTTCAAGGGGTCCTTCCCTACCACGAAAAGTGATGGCGACTCTTTCTCCTAGAGAAACTCACCTAGTGAGACTTCTCATTTCTCTCCAGCTGATGCTGTTTTTGCTTGTGTTATGATTTGCAGCTGGAATCCTTTCACATGTTCCCAAGAAAGAGCATAATTTGGCTTCCTTCTCATTGCTTGTGACATGGCTCCTGCTGCTTTCTTCTCCACCAGCAGTTTTCTAGTAGTGGATAAAGGCCATTGCCCTGACCTTCATTCTGTAAATAGCTTACAGTAGTGGCCAAAATTGTGGAAACATTTTGGGAAAAGTATATTTTCTAAAACTAGCTAATAACACCACTTTTTTTTGGAGTAGTACCATAAAATTATATATCAATGGAAAGATAATTTAATCAAGAATGTAATGCAATAACTTTTATGAAGGATTTTCTATTAGAATAGCAGTTACAGTATAAAGAAGAAAAGTGAAACACGTAGAAAAAATGAGATATACAAAAATTATCACCATAGAAAAAATGAGATATACAAAAATTATCAACTAAGTTAATACTGAGTTGGGTAACCTTTAGCATGAATTATGGCCTTTCAAAGTCTTCCCATGGAATGAATCAAGTCTTTTAGTTCTGCAGCTGTTATAATGTGAAACCAAGATTGAATGATTGTTTCTAATAACTGGGTTTTATTGTTGGGTTGCTTCTGACTAACAAGTTTCTTTAGTCGGCTCCGTAGATTTTCAATTGAGTTAAGGTTTGGGCTATTCCCAGCAGTGGAATATGATTATCTTGAAACTCCAAAAAAAAAAAAAAAAGTGGTGTTATTAGCCAATAAACCTCAAAAATACACTTTTCTCAAAAGGTTTCCACAATTTTGGCCACTTCTGTATATAGAGTAGCAATCTTGGTATGCTGGAGTAAGAGGTAGGCAGGCTGAGCAGTGTTTACTCCTTATTTTAGTGATTTCAACTAATGTGAACCTTTACAAATCTGCATACTGGATCAGCGAAATGGGCTTCACCCATTCATCATATTTCATGGTTTGGGAGTTCAGAATATTCAGGAAATAAAGGTGGTTCTTCAGCTTGATGCTTTACAATATGCCAGCTCCCCATTTCTTTCATGTAAAACAGCCAGATGGAGCTAAGGGAACAATCTGGAAGCACATTGACACTCTGGACACAATCTTGAGAATCCAAGTCTAGTTCTGAAGTTTTCTAGAGTTCTGTGGTGTGTATTGAGAAGCAAGGAAAATAAAAAAAAAAAAAGCAATTGCCTGCAATTCTTTTTATATGTACAGCCATCTGGGATTTTGAGCTGATTTGCACATTTGTGCCCATTTATGGATAGTTCTTGCACTCTGTTGACAAGTTGAAGAAAAGGAAGAAAGTCACATGGAGAGGAAGTAAGCTTTAAGCCAAGCTGCACTAAATTATAAGTCATTTAGCTCCCTCCCCCACAAAAGTAGAAATTCACTATGTAACAGAGCACCTAGAAAATATTAGATAGTATTTGTTTTTAAGTACTCTACAGTAAGTAAGATTTGATCATTGATTTTTTAAAAATCTGCTACTCCAGATTTTTTAAAAAAATCAGTGGGAATTAAATCAGAGATGACTAAATCAAACAGATTTCAATTGGGCTACTCACAGAAAAATCACATTGTGTTTGTCTGCATCTGCTTATTATAAGAACTAATTTGCTCCAACAACTAAGGCAGTAGACTAGAAACCAAGGGGGGCAATGAAAAATGCCAAGATACTTGTCACAACCACACAATGGAAGCCACTATCTTGACTTTTTAAAACTCCCCATCTTCTTAGCTGCAGATGTCTCTGACTTTACTGACTGCAAGAAAAAAGCTCATATTAACTTTACTGCATTCATTACTGCTTTAATTTAAAGCCATGGGAATGCTAATTTCTGGAATAGTTTTATTTCCTTAGAGAAGCTGGAATAGACCAATTATATTCAAACATTATTTATGCATAGCTCTGTTAATGTGAACTGAACATCCACCTGATGGGATGCTAAATCCACTTTGAACATCAAATTTATAATAGGTATGCCATGGTCATGCTGGAAATCTGCCAAATAGATCTAAGGGTGATAAATGCACAACATTACTTTTTTGAGAAAAGATAAGGAAAAACAGCTATTTAAATGTAAATAGGCAAAGGGTACTAGAAGCTTGGAGCTAATAAAATTTTAAATTTTGGAGATCCATACTCTGATGCTGGAAGCTAGTGACCATCCTTGGTTACAAAGATTTAAATATTTGGACAGTTGGTTTATTTGAGATACGGGGTGGTTTCAGAATAGTTAACATCAGCAGAAAAAAAAAAGAAAAGATGTTGGCTCCAAACGCAACTTCCTAAAACCAATTTGTTCAGCTGCTATTAACAATATCAGCATAGGAGAGTTTCCAGTGTTTGCTTTTAATGAGCTTTTGAGAGCAACCTTCTTTTAAATGAAAGCATAAAATATAATTAAATGAATTAAACAAAATACCATTTGAAATAGCTAGAGCGCTTGATAATTAATTAATTATGTCTGTTATGATTCATTATTGCCTAGAGGACTTTTTAAAAAGTAAATAGTTGCTGTAATATTTAAAAAAAGCTGTTTTAAAGTTAATATTGATCTTTTTTTTTGTTAATCTTAAAAATATTATTGAATATAAGTGCTCGGAAGAAGTGACTAATGTCATAATGTAAACACCAAGGGAAGGTCTTTGATGTCCAGTCATCTTAATATTCTTGAGGCTACAAAATTCTGTGTTCTGATTGGCTTTGGAGCAATGGTGAAATCTAAAATTTGTTACTACCGGTTCTGTGGGTGCGGTTTGGCGAAGAGGTTGTAAAAAATGCTTTCAAAAGGCTCTGACGATCCCAGTTGAGTTACCTGGTCAGAGGCTTTTTTTCTTTTAAAAGCCTCTGACAATCAGGCAACTCAGCTTGGATCATCAGAGCCATTTAAAAGAAAAAAAACCTCTGCCGATCAGGCAACTCAGCTTGGATTGTTAGAAGCATTTAAAAGAAAAAAAAGCTTCTGCCGATCAGGCAACTCAGCTGGGATCATCAGCTGACGATCCCTTTGACGATCCCAGCTGAGCTGCATGATCATCAGAGGCTTTTTTTTTTTTTTACTTTTAAAAGCATTTTTTCGGCTGAAGAGGTTGTAGAAAAAATGCTTTTAAAAATTAAAAGAAAAAGCCTCTGATGATTGTGCGACTTAGCTGGGCATGGGAGGGGGGGCAGGGATTTTTGCTAGCGGTTCTCCGAACCACCCGCCTCCATCGCTACCAGATCGGGCGATCCAGTCCGAACCAGGAGCATTTCACCCCTGCTTTGGAGACTGATATGTAAAGTGAACAAGGGGAAAATGACAAAGCAGTCCTTCAGGATGTTTTCCTTGGAAGCAGTTTTTGCATAATGACATATTTTGTTTCCTTTCTTTTTTTGGAAATAATAAGCACATGATGGAGGCAACACAAAAATGCCAGCGCAGAAATAATCTTCGACACTGGCCAGGACAAATGGATTGTCAGGGTTCCAACAGATGCCCTAATTAAATCATGAGTCTCGAGTCAAGCTTTAAAAGAAATCCAATTATTTATTAGGAGCTTTATGTCCGCACATTCCCAAATGAAGCCAGTTCTGAACCTACGTAATTTACGCTCCAATTATGACCCTGTTTCCCCCCTCCCCCCCAGGGTGTGTCATCAATCACATTAGCCAATGGAGCAATTTCAAGGGTTGTAGAGGTCACTCCCCTTGCTGCTGTAAGTAACCCTGGGATACAGCCTTGAGAGAGATAAGCATGGAATGTGCATCTGTTTTTGGCTGCTGTGCAGTTTCGCCAGTTTCCCATCTCCCCTGGCCTATGGCAACTCGAGAGCAGGCCAGGGATGTTTTGCGAGTTGACATGGATCAGTAAAGAATGATTGCTTCAAAGGAAGGTGGAGAGAAATGAAACAGAACTATGTAAATCACCAAGATGCCAATTGGCAGAGCAGAGCCCTTCTGCCCTACAGATGAATCTCTCTGATTTAGTTGACAGCTTCAACTTAGATGGAAGAAGATATTAATAAGAACCTTAGCAGGTTATTTTAGAGGTGATGCAGTATGATATAAGGTTAGAAGCTTTGTTGTAAAGCTAAGGTCTTTCATGGTAAGTCTCAGTACTTTGAAGTAGGTTCAGAAGGAAGATAAATGCGTTCTCATTAAAAAAAACTAGCAGCTATTCTAAATTATTCAAATGGTTTTCAGAGAGATAGTACTACATAAGTCTTAAGGGAAGATTATCAAAACAGTGTCTCCAGATTCACCCCATCTTAATTTGAAATATAATGGAATTATGGAACCAGAATTCGTTAACTTTTAACTGTCTCTGGAGTTATTTGGATTACCATATCTGGATTGCAAAAATCTGGATGACTTCTAGATGACATCATAGAAGTCTAATTCTGTCATTATCTAATGATTTGTTGGTTTCTTGATAGGAGAGGTATGATAGCTTCACATTAATTATCCATTCGATTCATACCTGCCACAACTGTATCACTTGAAGTGGTTAACAATACAACCTTATGATAAACAATTCAATAAAATGTTTATAGTACAAAATTAAAAATAGGTAAATAATAAAAATCAATGGCATTAATAGAAAAAAGTCATGCACAGAACAAAATTCAGTGCCATCAAATAATTTTCCACAGGTATTCTAGAACAATTCAAATTTAGAGAAAAGCAACAGCATGGAGTCCAATCTATTTTCATAACATATGCTCACCCACTGAGAAGCAGAACCATGACTTCAGCCCGTTTTACTTTGCAAAAATGGGGAACCAGTAGGAATTTCTCCTAGGACGTATAAACCTGGCAGATAAATTCCTGTGGAAAAAGACAGTTTTGCAAATACCTCAGTGCCAAGCCATAGAGAACTTTCTAGTTTTCAGTTTTTCAGTGCTTTCAATTGTGTCTGTAAGATAATAGGAAATTACTATAGGATAATGACAAATCTAGACAGCTTACTAAAAAACAGAGACTTTACCCTGCCAACAAAAGTGCATATAGTCAAGGCTATGGTTTTCCCAGTTGCAATGTATGGCTGTGAAAGTTGGACCAGAAAGAAAGGCTGAGCGCCAAAGAATTGAGGCCTTTGAACTATGGTGCTGGAGAAGACTCCTGTGGGTCCCTTGGACTGCAAGGTGAACAAACAAATCAGTCCTAGAGGAGATCAATCCTGACTGCTCCTTAGAAGGTCAGATCCTGAAGATGAAACTGAAATACTTTGGCCACTTAATGAGAAGGAAGGACTCACTGGAGAAGAGCCTAATGCTGGGAATGATTGAGGGCAAAAGAAGAAGGGGACGGTAGAAAATGAGGTGGCTGAATGGAGTCACTGAAGCAGTAAGCGTGAGCTTAAGTGGACTCCAGAGGATGGTAGAGGACAGGAAGGCCTGGAGGAATGTTGTCCATGAAGTCGCAATGGGTTGGACACAACTTCGCAACTAACAACACAACATAGGATAATAGGAAATTACCATTTATTTGTTTGTTTGTTTATTTAATTAATAGGCTGCCCAACTTCTATATAATAGCAATAGCACTTATATACAGCTTCACAGTGCTTTACAGCCCCCTCTAAGTGGTTTACAGAGACAGCATATTTTCCCCAACGATCTGGGCCCTCATTTTACCGACCTCAGAAGGATAGAAGGCTGAGTCAACCTTGAGCCTGGTGAGATTTGAACTGCAGATTGCAGGCAGCCGGCAGGCAGCAGAAGTAGCCTGCAGTACTGAACTCTAACCACTGCACCACCATGGGTCATAATTAATTCTTTAAAAACCTAACAAGGAGGCTCCAAATCATTCAAATAATCATATGAGCCGCTGTGGCAAATTGTTTAGAATGCAGTATTGTAGGCTAACCCTGCCCAAAGGAGAAGAGAAATCTGCTCCCTAAAAGTAGCTGATACCACCTCATGGACTCAAACGCAGGTCACCTCCCTGCAGATGATCTTATGGCTGGCTGATGTAACATACAGCTGCCTCTGGTCTATTTTCAACCATTGTCTCTAGAACACATGTAGGAGACCTGAGCAATGACCTTCCTGGTTTTTGTACTAGTCTTACAGAACGGCTTCCCCCAAAGATGTGTATGGTCCAACAATATTGGCCTTCAAGAAAGTGGTGGTCTGTCTTTTGTGCCACTGGGGCTAGAATTCACCTTGGGATCAGCCTTCTGTTTGACCTTATGACTGAAGAGGGTGTTTTCTTTTTAAAAAATCTGGAGCCTCATCCTTTTCTTGTATTATTATTTTCTTCCTTTACATTGATTTTATTTGATACTTGTAGTATCTTTATATCCTTATTC